GGCAGCGCCAGCGTACAAACATGCAGAGCGACGAGAACAGCGGACCTACCGGCGGCAGGCCGCCGAGGGGCCATCGCCGACCCGCGAGATACGACAACACAGGCGAAAGTGGTGCTGCCTGTGGTCATGGGTTGGGTCATGGGTTGCAGCAGTCTGCTGCCGCCGTTGATGATGACAACGGCCGCGGCCGCGACCCTCTCCCGAGCCACGCCTCTCGCCGGCTGCGCGTGGCCGCCCCCGCCGCTGCCGTAGAAGCGGAGGGTTCGCGATGCCCCCTTACGATGCTGTCGCAAGCTGCCGGGGTCGCCGGGTTTGCTACCACGACAACCACCGCAGCAGCCATCGCCCGCATCACGGAAAGCGGGTTCATCTCCAGGCTGCGACGCTTTCGCCGCCTTTGCTCCGCGAAATCTGCAGATCCACAGCGCTTTCCGTGACCATCCATGGTCTACAAGCTTACAGGCGACACAAGCAAGCCACCTGGGGACTGTCCCCGAGATCTGGAGTGCGAGAGGGTGCTCAGCGTGCTGGCGACTGCAGTGCAACTCGAGTGCTCCCATTTCGGAGTCATTTCGGAGTTTCTCTTCGGAAAATGCCGAAAATGAAGCGGCGCCCGAAAAATTCCGACGCTTCATTTTCAGCATTTTCCGACAAGAAATCGGCATTTTCCGAAAAAGTAGGGCGCATGTCGGCATATTCCAACAGAACAAATCTCGTTAAGAACCCTCCTTATAGAACCAGAACCGAACCAAGAATCTTCCTCAGAATATTATTTTCCGACAAAGTAGTAACCGCTACTGGATAGAAATGCGTTTTTTCCGCAATCGACTACCGGGACATCGGCAAGTCTCGGCACGTTGGTTCATCGGTGCAATACGGCACGAAAAAGGTGCAGTCAATGATCCTTCCGCATTTCCAGCACCCCGTCTTCGTCTGCGCCATCCACACCTTGCACATACTTGTCCCTCTCCCACACTCCACTCCACCCTCCGCCCTTTAATACTACAGGCACCAACGTATCAGACTCTGCTTCTTTCTCCCCGGCAAACAAGCGACTACCGTCTTCACCTACAAAGCGGCACTTCGATATGGCTGAGGCATCTTCAACTGCTGCTGCGGGTGTGGAAACGATTACATTGGGAGCAGGTACAAACTGCTGTGTCGGTGGTTGCAGAAGAACACCACGTGTTTGGTCGATACGACAGCAGTATTGGTGTGAAGTAAACCAACACCAGCAACACTACGGCTGATGGCGATACAGCGGTTTTGGGGTGAAAGAAGATGGGAGTAGCCCTCTCATCGGTGTTCGGAGCGCTCGGCTCGTGGCCACAGCAGCTGTAAACGCATGTTCGAGTGTACGAGCTCTGCACGTGTGGAGACAGACCACGTTGATAAAGGTAGACTTCAGTCTCCCCAACGTCTGTCGAGAACGATTCCCTCGTTTCACATACGCAGTCTTTGTTGCAGCGGCGGCATGCACAGCATGCATAGCGGAGTGCGTCAACGCACCATCAAGAACGACATCGTCCGACGGTTTTTAGCATTGGGCCTCAGTGGCGACATACCATAGGCTACACAGGCGGCGTAAGGCCGCCAAAAAGCCTTGGACACACATGCCTTTCCCCCAATCTCCTTCGGAATTTACGCCCGCGATGAGTTTGAAAGTTGGGCCCCTCCGCAGAAGCGCGTGGTTCTCATGCGTGTACTGCGGCAGTGTTGAATTGTAATTATCGTACGGTAGGGAGGACGAATTACGCATTGCTGAGGACATGTTGGTGTGCACATCGAGCACCCTTTCGTTCAGAACACACACCCCCCCCGCCCTCGCTCCCTGCTGTGCGCACATGATAACCGGCGTGCTTCCACGTAGGTTGCTTCTGGTGTGTTGAAGCCGTGTATCAGCGCGTTGTCGGCGTCGAGAGCGTGGAAAGCGGCTACATGGGAGGAGTCGTGAACAACCCTTCTTACGGCCAGGTAAATAAAAACACCGTGCACGCCGTGTCTTCGTTGCCATACGACGCACGTGTCTTCAGGTCTGCACCAATGAGAAGGCAACACACACAGGGTGCGTAGACTACAGCAGTATACCGGCAAGACTCGTTTTCTCCCCCTGTGGCTCTTTGGTGCCTGGGCGACCGGCCTGGAGCGGTAGATACCGCACCCAACACCACCGCTAGACTGATAGATCAAGAACCAGAGAGATAGTCTATAGTCTATACTTTCGCCGGTTGTTGGTGTGCTGCGGTTGATGCCATGCACATGATGAACCTCTGACGACTAAATACAATAAGCTGTACCATGCATTCCGCACACGGCAGATCTGCACCGGAGAGACGGGGCACGCAGAGGTGATCCAGCTCAAGTACAAACCTTCCAAGGTCTCGCCCACCGATCTGCTCGAGATCTTCTTCAAGATGCACGACCCCACCACCAAGAACCGGCAAGGTGCCGATGTCGGCACCCAGTATAGGTGAGTGTACAAACGTAGGGGCGATCCAACTTGCAAGTTTACTGTTTCTTGTCGGAGAGACAAAATTCTTCTGGGTGTCACCATTTGTAGTACAATTTTCGCTACTCTTAGGCGAAGTATGGACCGGTCCATGGACCGTGCCGTCGTACACCGTGGGAAAGCAAGGGGTGAACACTATCGTTCCTTCTGGTCCTATCTTTTGTTGCACTCACGGGTCAAGTTCTAAAACTCGAACGTGGGTCTGTCTGGCAATTTCCTTCCATGCCGTGGCTCGGACAAACCCGTCATCAGGAGTGCCATCTTCTACCACTCAGAAGAGCAGAAGCAGGCGGCGGAGGAGGTGATAGCGGCGGTGCAGCCCAAGTTCGGGAGCAAGATCGTCACCGAGGTGACGGCGGCAAGCAACTTTTTCGTGGCTGACAAGGGGCACCAGGACTACTACTCGAGAAATAAGAGCAGCAACGGCTACTGCCGGCTGGTGATCCATCCCAAGCTCTCCAAGGTAAGCTCCAGAGACCCTCAGCGGAGACTTGGCGGCGGTGGTGGTAGTGGCGGCGGCGGCAGTGCTGTTGCTGTTATTGCTGCTGCTGCAATCCAAGGCCGGTCTGAACTCTTCCCTGTACCTCCGTTCATGCCCTCCAAAAGTTGTTGAAGGGGGTCCAGTACTGTAGCGTGAGCTTTCCGCAGCATGTCAACTCGAGAATTCCGACGCGCCCCTCCAGAGCAAATAACTCCCGGACACTGCTGTCTTCTTGGGAGCTAGGCTGCTGCATTATTGCGCACCTTCAGAGAGACCGATCGGCTGGCCTATACCGAGACAATTTCTCTCGTTAGCTTCCTCCGAACATTATTTGGTGTGTTTGGTGCTGAAAGCTGCTGCCATACCCGCACCCTTACGTCGGACATGGGAAGCGGAAGTCCAAGCAAGTCAACCCTACGTAAGGGTTTCTTTCGGAACGTCGCGGCGGCATCTTTGCGCCCGAAGGTCAACATGTTCCCCTTGCTCTCGGTGTGCGACGTCAAGGGTGGTGTCATTCGTGCTGGCGGACATCGATAGCAAAAGCCTTTACCCGGACAACGAAACCAAAACGGACGACCGAAGATGCGGGCGACCCCCACCAACAAGAAGAACAACAACGACAGCAGCCCCCAAGCACAGCAGCAAAAGCAACAACCACCACAACAGCTTTGGCCTTGAGGATCACCCAAATTGTTTGTCCCTATGACTGACTCTGATCCCTTTTGGCGACCGCCCGATGTCGCCACTGCGCTCTGAATACAGGTGAAGCATGACAAGTACAAAAGCCCAGGCGTCATGTCCAAGGTGTTGGGGGCGCTCAGCTCTTCACCGTAGGAGTCCCTGCTTCGGAGCGAGCCATTTGTGGAGATCCTGTCGAGGGTATCAACGTCTCTATGACCATGTTGCTTCAGAAGTGTTCCTCTCTTCCTCTGCCTGGATGGATTGGTCTTGTGATTGTCCCCTCCAGCGGGTGGAGTCTTGTCCTCCTCCATCTCCTGCATTGTCGTGCTTTGTATGATGTGCTTGCTCTATCCCTTTCCAAGAGTTAAGTTGTCGTTCGGGTGTCGCCCCTAGGGATGGAGGTGTAGTGTATGAATGTCCCTGGTTAGGGTAGTGTGGATTGTGAGGTGAAATTCTGTACGGGTTCTCCACATGTAAGTTGTAAACGTGTGGTGTTGACGACCGTATGCTGTAGAATACACTCTCACACGACGAGTTTCTTGTACCCCATTTCGTGTTAAAGGCGATGGCAAGGTGGCGCTCTCAGGGTTAGTCTGTCCCCACGGCAAGGCTGAAGACACCCATAGAGCAGGGCACGTCGCGCGTTGACCTCGTCTTGGTAGTAATCGTTTACTGCATTACCTCGATATTGTAGCTCGTAGCAGGCGAGGCAAGAGCTCAGGGTAGATACAAAGATAATGCGAGCGACGGAACTAGATGTGCAGAGGATAGATTTTGTGATCAATACAATCCTCGTGTTCTGAGTAATATGGAACTGGGCCACTGTGCTACCAACAACGGCCGGCATCGGGCACCCTCGACCAAACGATCTCAAGTAGTGCTGCACGCCCGAAAACGCACTAGTCATAGCGACAGCAAGCAGCAGCAGTAGCAGCAGCAGCAGCAGCAGCAGACGTTCGCATGAAGAGCGGTCGCGGAGTAGGTTGGACAAAACCAAACGATGACGCTGATCAGGCCTGGTCATCGAAACATCCTGCACTACTACGTACACTCCCGTGAATACCAAGCCGCGATATTCGACATTTTCCCTCCCTCACGAGGGACAGATGGCGACATGACGGGTGACAGAGCACAAGAACCACAGGGCACATCTATCTGGCGCTTTTCCAAATGCCGCACAACACACGTTGTACAACAAGAGCCATGACATCGATTGTAGGCCCAGGAAGGAAGGTGTCTGAACTACATTTCTTGAGGTGTGTACCCCCGAACCGCCTCCTTCCACACAAACAATTGCTGCAACCAATATCTATCACGGTCGAGCTTAAGGGTACAGCTCTAGATCACACTGCCGGTGCGCTGAAAGCCCTCAAAAATGACAACTGCCGTGATCTCTAGAACCAAACCGAAAGATGCCACATTGCGGCGTTTGCCGTCATCTTGGTGGTGGAACGATTCCCCCAACGCACTGCTTTGCCATGTCACACACATCCTGCACGTCAGCCAGCGCTCCAACACCTTTTCCAAGCAGCACCAGCAAAAACCGAGAGAGATACGGGGGGCGGAGGGGGGCACGGAGTGTGTCATACTCAGTTTCTTGTTTTCCAAGTTGGGCTGACCAATGACCACGCGTCCCTCTCGAGACCGAAAGCCTTTCCTGAACCGCTCCTATGTTTAGCAGGAGGGGGGATCTATCGAAATAGGCGTTCGCGGCCTCAGTCCCCAGCAGGGACACTCCTCTTTGCCAAGAAGCGGCTATCATCATACGACTACAGTCACGCGAATGGCGCCGTCATCATGTATCAGAGCTCGGAAGCGACAGAATTCGCCTCCGATTGGTGCCCTTAAGTACACCTCAAGGTTATACACCATGCAGTGAATAACAAACGAAACAACAGCACAGCACCGAGTGTACAAACCAAAAACAGGATGATGGCGGAAGCCACAGCAGCGGCAGCCCCGAAGGGATAGAACGCGTCACGCGCTTGCTGCACGCATAGTACTTGACAGGTCATGTCTAAACACAAACAAGGCGTTGAAAGCACGTCTGCCTCCTGAAACACTTGCCTACGTCTCCACAAGCCAATTTCTTGGAAGCTGGTGGCACGACTGCCACACCCAACTCCGTCAAGGCGGATAAATGCCTGTCGCCACACAGAAAGTAGAGACACGAATTGGAGGGCAATGCCTGCGTCAGGTTCGAGGATGCATGGGGTGGAACGGGTCGACGGCAGAGAAATTCTCCGGCAGGACCATACACTGGCAGAGACTGGAAGTACGAAGCGTACCTTGAAGTAGAAACGAAAGTTGAAGGTTCAGTTTGCGGGTACCAAACAGGGTCCGAAGCGAAGAGGAACGTAGGAGCCGAACGACAGCTCGTGTCTGCGTCAATGTATTTGTAGGAGAGCATTTTAGTTTCCTGCAGCCGTCTCTATTAATTGAACCTACGTAGGTCGCCACTATTAGTCCACAATGAATAACTAAAAACAACGAACCCCTTTCGCGTGCGCCACGTACCGGTTCGTCATGGGGTGTTCCCACATGTGCGTGTTCATGGCAGGGGCAACCACGAAGCTCTTCTTCGACTTAAAATCCCACGCCCGAGCCACGCAGGTCTGACCGCAAAAAAGCGGATGACGAACGGAGGGTCTGGATCGGCGATGTATGCTATGGCGGGTGTGTTGTCGGGTGCTTGGAATATTGCACGAATCGGGTGGCAAAGACCCCAGTTACTGGGACAGTGATCTTGACAATCCCACCATGTTGATCTCGGGTGTCGCCCCCTCATCCAGAGAACCGTTCCTTTCCTCGCTTTTAACAGTGTTCTTTCGAGACATCCTTGCTTCCGAAGCCCCCAACTGTTACTCGTACTGAACAGCAGCTGCGGCAGGGGGTTCGTGTTCTACGCTGGCGACAGAACAAATTGTTGCCGTAGAACATGAATAGCGTCGGGCGTGTGCCAATCCCCCCTTGTGTACAGTATGTCCTCACCACAAGGTTGTCGCACAAGCCGTTGGCCAGCTTGGACAGCGTGTTGGCCGACAGCGGCGCCACGAGCAACATGTCGGCCCAGTCTCGCAGCTTGTTGAGGCACGCGCCATCGAAAGCCGCAAGCACGGACCCGTGAGGGAAACCACGCAACAATCAGGGCAGACAACACGAAAGCGGCCCAGCAGGGAACCCTTTTTTGGTAACAACTGGCCGCGAAATTGCAGCCAGCGGCGTCAAGCACAGCACGACTCACCCCCAAGAGTGAGAGAGAAAAAAAAACAATTTGTACCGCAGACGTTGACGTTTTTACCGAGATTCTCATCAACCAATCTGAACATACTCCTCCCTCCCACACCCATGCATCGAGCCAAACCTGTATGTGCAAAACGGGGTCCCCGACGGCATCCCAGGCCCCCCATTCGTCCGCATTTCCAAGGACCGGGATGGGAGGGTCGAGCGCGCTGAATGCTGCGTGGGCGTCGCTGTTGTAGGCCTCGCTCCTGTCCATGAAGTGTTTGCTCGCTTCCGTCACAAGTATCTTAACCTTCGAGCGAGAGGTTCGAAATACGTAAAAAAATAGCGTCACGTCATCTCTGCAGCGGGGTCGATAGTAGATGTGGTTCTTTTGTAGACAGCAGAAGCGCTAAGCAATGTACACGGATCTTGCTCGCCTTCGCCCCTTGTGATTCTCGACACGGACATGTTGGTCTTGTTCGTTCCATCTAGCGTGTCTGACGTGGACAAGTGAACGTTCGGGCGAGCACTCGAACCCAAGCTCCCTCGACCCTGCTGTATCGTTGTATACAACTATTATTTTAGCCTTTTTAGTTTTTAGTTGCTGTTGCTGCCTATAGTATTTGATACGGCGGCTCTTGACACGATGAAAAAACAAGTGCAAGGGCACCATTTCCCCGGATCTGTGAAACGAAAGGCGTGTCTCATCGTGCGTGCTGTTGCTATTGTAGTGCCTTTGAAGACTCCACCTACAGTGCGCACAATCGGTCAACCCAACTTTTATCGCCGTGTGGTGGCGACACGACACGATTGGAGCATCAGCCCTAAGCCATAGCGGACGAGCGAAGGCCAGATCGGGCCAACCAGCTCTAGGCACAGCGCGTCATGCCATGAGTCAAGCTTCCTTGTATGCGCATCGATCCGACATCCTTCTCTTCCAACCCCCCTCCACAGAAACCGACAGGCTCAAACTATCATGGAGCTGCAGTGGCGCTGAGGGCCGGTATCACACATATCATTACTACACGATTGCTGAAGAGATTACATATCATGTATCACCTCAGGAGGCGGACAAGCTCAAAAGCTGCGTGTTCCCGTCGGCTTGCCAAATAGTGTCGATCTATGCTTTACGTCCGAAGCACCGGTGGTCTCGCCTTCAGCAGTTTGATATTGGGGTTTGGGAGTAAGCGGCTCTGGCCGCCTTGTACGTCTATTGGCACCGATGCAGCACACATGTTTTTTGCGTGTCTGATTCCCCTGTCACAAACCTCGATCGGGTGGACATTGACCTCCAGCTTTGCTCTTACGTCCGACCTCAATCATTGGTTGAGGAGACATCGCCTCTCTTGTTCGTGGTTTCAACCGTCGGCGAATTGTTTATTGCTGTAGTCGGCAAGACGCATCTGCTGTCTGTTGGCGAAGAACATAAATCTTTTCAACCACATCCGTCTCACGGATCAGGCCGCGCCGGGCAGCGTCTGTCTGTGCGTCTTCAAGCTTGTTCGTCCTCCTTGATGTCCATACATGGTACCCACACCATGAGACGATGAGTCAACTCAGTGACGTTCTGAGATGTCGTGTCGACCTGTAGGAGATAGAGAGGTGCTTTCGACGAGTAGATGTGATCTCTGCGTCCTGACATCAATTGATCCCTCGTCGAACCTGAATACAGAGGGGTTGGTGCCACAGAAACACCGCCGTCATCGGTATCTGCGGTGATGCTGGTATGTACGAAAACGCTCCGCAGCTTCATATTGTTTGCATGTTTGTTTGGATCACAGCAGTCGTTCTGCAATTGGGTTTGGGTACGAATTTGGTGGACATCTTGAGGCTTTTTTTGAGCTTTCGTGGCAGCTGATTACTGCCCGACAAGCACCTTATCGTATTCAGTGTTCCTTTCACCTCTCAGGTTCATTGTGCTCTGTCGTAACCATGCCAACGCCAGCGAGATTTCGCACACCTCTGCAAACTCCGCGAGCATTGCCGCAAGCTGTGGGACCCTGACCACAGCGACGCTCCCACTGACACATAGCAGTATTCTCGGCCTTGTGCGACCTTCAGCCATCGGAACCACCGAACACGGACCACCACACGCCTGCTGCTCAGAGTGCTGCGCAGCTTGTTGCAGAAGCGTTGGAGCAGTGTCCCCTCTTTCTTCAAGTGCACACGATCTCCGAAATCTCCGACGGGACAAAGGGGCTCCGTGAAAGCGGCAGACCGACCAAGCGACAGAGGAGATAATTGAGCAGAGAGTCCGTGCAGCACGTCTGTCAGTCACATCAGCAGTGTCAAAGAAAGAGTCGAGTCAGCAGCTGCAGCATGCTTGCTGCACGAGTGACGGGTTCTCACAGCGCCAGGCCAGCGGCGGCTCTGGCCGCCGCGGCAAGCCGCGCCTGTTCGCGAGCATTCAGCGCGAAGCCGCCGGACAAGCCGAAGCCCACTCCGGAGGAGGAGGAGGCGAAAAAGGTCGCACAGATGCGAGCCTTGGACGTAGTGTTAGAGGCCCAGAACAACACGGGTGAGCCACGGGTGATAACGGAGCGACACGTCTTTGATTGTTGAGTTCCTATTTTTGATCACGGGTATGGAGTACCAGGAGCAACATGCACCGGCGTATGTTGCTGAGTCTCAACTTTCCGGATTCTTCTTGCACTGCTGAGATGTTGGCCGAGTTGGCGAATGCACAAGTCGTGCGGCATAGCATGCCCCGTCAAGCGGCGTTAGCTGGACTGACTGGTAAACGGGGTAGCTGTACTGGCCGGCAGTTGCACCATGTTTTTTGCGCCAGAAACGGATAGTACAGAGTAGTACTTCGAAGTACAGTAGTAGAGCGACATGCTTTTCGCTGCTGCGGGTGTGACGTATTTTGGTTGTCGGGGCCCCCTTATGTTGCGTAGACAGGAGAAAAGGGAGAAATAGAGGTGCTGCAACCGCGTGACCGTTGTGTGCTGCTGAGTAGGCAACTCGCTCGCCACCGGTATGCTTCTAGCTAGACACGGTCCTTTCACGAAGTAAAGATTCACCGAGAATGGCTTTCTGTGTCTGTAGTCTGCATTTTGAAGGGTGCCTCGACCGCCCCCCTGCAAGCAAACCGCGGTGCAAACCCATTGTCGGCCTCTGTGCTGTGTTTCTTTTTGTTTCATGTCCTCCCTGCCTACTCTGCTGCGTTGGGTACCTTGATCTCGCTTTTTCTGTTGCTTGTTTTTTGTACATGTGGCTGTCTGCCCATCTGCCACCTCTTTGTCCTGTTTGTTCCGTTACTCCCATGCCCTGGTGCGTAGTGCCTGGTGCTGGTACGTTAACCCTTTCAGTTTTTCTTTAGGCGGGTGTGGGAAGCGTCCTCCTTTGTGTTATTGTTTAATTTTGATCGATTTCCGAGGGCTCTTTTCTCGAACGGTCGGTGCGGTACCTGTTATTTCCTTTTTTATCATTTTGTTTTCTTTCTCCGAGTGGTTTGTACCCTAAATGTGTTTGTTTCCCCGCGGCGTCGTATGTGCCGGGTTTTGAGACCATGGGCTCNCCTTTCAGTTTTTCTTTAGGCGGGTGTGGGAAGCGTCCTCCTTTGTGTTATTGTTTAATTTTGATCGATTTCCGAGGGCTCTTTTCTCGAACGGTCGGTGCGGTACCTGTTATTTCCTTTTTTATCATTTTGTTTTCTTTCTCCGAGTGGTTTGTACCCTAAATGTGTTTGTTTCCCCGCGGCGTCGTATGTGCCGGGTTTTGAGACCATGGGCTCCCCATTTTTTGTGGACTATGGAGCTAATGTGAGAAACAACAACTGGACTGCTCATGGTTCCTCTCTCTTGTCACGACTCGATCGACAATACTCGAGTCTTGCCGCTCGCGTTGGTGGTGAGCGGGGTATCATCTCGAACAGGTAGTCCTTGGTTACGGTATATTTTTCCAAGATATCACAGGAAATGCTGTTTTCAAAATAACTCAAAGGGGCTCTACTCGCCCCCGTCTCTTCCGGTCGTTACTTCTTCCTCGTCGCAATCATCACTTTGATCTCGTTTTCGCCCCCCATCTGTTAACTGCTATAGTAACAGGGACACCCATACCCTGCTGTTTGTTGTGTAGTAGTTCAAAACGCGGCTGTAAGTCCTGTACGGAGACCAGCTACGCCACAGCAGTGGGCCACCCATCCTCCAGACACCCTAGTGTACAAGGCCTTTCGTTCGATCAACTACAGTGGAGAGGCTCTTTGATTCAGTGGTTGTGCAGCTGAAAAGGAACACCTTCTATGGAGCAACCGCCTGATTTGACTCATACAACGTTATAGCGGGCGCTCAGCTGTCGTCGAAGAGAGCACTTGGGCGGGGCTTTCAACCGTTGACCCACAGATTCTTCTTGGAACCAGCACAGGGACGAAGCGGTACTGGGTGGAAGTCATGATGGTCTCCATTGTTGGGACAATAGCAACAACAGCAGCAACCACAATCATCACCATCACCCCAACACAATATCTGACGCCCCCCCCCCCCCCCCCCCCCCCCCCCCCCCCCCC